ATCCCCAAACATGATATTGTACCTCAAATAAAATTGTCCCATGGCAATACAAAATTGATTTCAAATAAATTTTAACGACTATTTTTCTTCAAAAAATTGTTTTTAAAATGTTTTTCAAAAGGTTTTTTTTTGCATTTAAAAACCTGCTCTGACATATCTAGAATGGCTTTGTTATTGACTGACTGCAAAATTTTAGTACAGACTGGACCATACATGAGTACAGAGCAGTATTCTTTGAAAGTCACAGAAGAGGCAGTGTCAGGTGTGTGCTGCTTGGGATGAGCAGGAGGACAGACAGTTAAGGTATGCAATTGACTCCAGAACGTATCTACCAATGCTTTCCAGTGACCTTACAAAGGGGGCTGCATCTGAGATGTTCTGTCAGTAGTTGGAAACACCAGGATAAGCATCTGGTGCAGCCCAGCCTCTCACCCTGTGACTGGTGTCACAGGGGTAGGTAAATAATTACCCTGCTGACAATAGTATGTGGCAAAATCTTGAGGCTGCAGGCTGCTGATGCTGAGAGTGAACTCTGTGCCAGATCCACTTCCATTGAACCTCCATGGGACCCCAGATTGCAAAGTAGGTGCAAAATGTATCAGGAGCTTTGGCGCTTTCCTTGCTCTCTGCTGGTAAGAATGTAAATAATTGCTAATGACCTGACTGGCTTTGCAAGTGATGTGGACTCTCTCCCAGAGATGCAGGCAAGGATGATGACTGAGTCAACTGGACATCACAATGGGCACCTGACATTGTAAACATTAAAACAATTAGTCACTTAACTAATGATATCATCCAAGTACTTCCACCAAGCCTCAAGCTGCTCTGTTAACATGAGATGAGTAATCCTCCTCATTGTTCTTCCTTACCTGGGAGCCAGAGCAGCAGGAGCCCCAGGAGCTGAGCAGGGGCCTTCATGTCCAAGCTGTTTGCTGACTGGAACCTTCTCCTGCATAGGGTGTGAGCAGCCTCTGAAGAAGTCCTCAGGGCAGTGGTCTGTGCTCAGGGCACATGAAAAGCAGCAGGGTTGGAAAGATTTAAAAGATATGGCTATATATGTAACTTGGTGCTCTTCATGAATTTCTGAGCTAGCAGTCTCCAAATCTCTCAGGTAACATTACTGTCTCCTATCAATAGCCCCAAACGACCCCCCTCAAAGATAAGATGTTCCCTAAACCAATAACTCACATCTACTTCAATCTCCTCTGCTTCATAAACCTTCATGTTCTCACAATATCATCTCTTCCAGTTCCTAAATAACATTTTTAGTACCTGGGCTAAAACTTGAGGTCACAGCAGGTTCAGATTTCTTGAGGGGGGGGTCCGATTTCGGGCCTGAACTCTGGGCCTGGGTGCTGTCCCTCAGCTCTTCAGTTCAAGGCTAGCGCTCTACCACTTGAGCCACAGCACCATTTCTGGCATTTTTTTTCTGCTTGTGAAGTGCTGAGGAATCGAACCTAGGGACTCATGCATGCAAGGAAAGTGCTTTACCACTGAGCCACGTTCCAAGCCCCCAGGTTCAGATTTGATGAAAGAAAACACAGTAAAGGGTGAGCAAGGCAATGAAGCCACAAGGAATGGAGAAGACATCCTTAGCATGGGAAGGAAGGAAAAACTGCCACAGACAGTGAAGGCAGAGCACAGTGAGGAAGGCTCCCACATCAGGACCAGCATGTGGGGACACTGTCCATCCTAGTGCAGGATGTCACATCTGGGAAGCCACTAGCAGGACATTTACATGACAGTGAATCAACCTCTCATCATTGTGAGTCCAAGCAGCTGCTGCAGGTACACAAAATAACACTGCTCCTCAAAGTCAGAAGCTCACACACAGGGAAAGTCCCTGCCAAAGTCAGAGTTCTCTTCAGCACCCTTCACTAAATGGACTGCATGTGGATCTGCATTTGAGAGATTCACCATTCTACCCTGGTGATGATGTTTCTGTGGCCTGAAATATCAGACTTCTGAAGCCAAACCAGGCTATGATGAAATTATAAAACTCATGCCTTTCTATTGACCTGCATTTAATGGGAAGAACTTTGAAGGTGGACCTGTCTATTGATAAACATCCACTTCTAGTACACACAAAGTCACCCCCCACCTGGGTTTGAGACAAAGACATGTTAGGAATGGCTGTGTTTCAGGAGGAAAGAAGAGTGGATAAGAGGTTGGAGATCAACCATTTCTCAATTTATGTAATAAGTCTGTTAGTCCCTGAGCCTCAGGTAGGAATCATAAGCATAAAGATCTCTTCTGTATACCATACTAAAGCTACCAGCACAACTATGTTTATTGCAGCATTATTTACCATAGATAAGATAGGGAACCAACCCAGATGTCCCTCAATAGATGAATGGATGGATAAAATGTGGTATATATACACAATGGAATTCGATGCCTCCATCAGCAAGAATGGCATTGCCCCATTTGTTAGGAAATGGAAAGACTTGGGTAAAATTATATTAACTGAAGTAAGTCAGGCCCAAAGAAACATAGGTCCCATGGTTTCCCTTATTTGCAATAACTAGTGTATATCTGAGACAAGAAGAAAAGGTCAGATAACATGATGTTAAGTGAAATGAACCCCAAGATAGGAACACAAGTAGTTTTCTTTCTTTCTTACAATTGTTTCTAATGTATTTATAAGGTACCACGTAATTTTTTGTTGCTTTATATGTCCCTCTCCCCCAGTATAACACCTGTTTTCACTGTATTTGATATTGGTATAATTTGGGGAATGTGGTGGGGGAGGGGAAAGGGAAATGTAGTTGTGGTAATGGGAAGGCAGGGATGGTAGGGAAAAACAAAAGGAGAAGGCAACAATGTTTGATAAGAAATATACTGATTCCCTTGCTCATGTGATTGTAACCCGTCTGCACAGTATTTTCACAATAAGAAAAATCTTATTTAAAAAGAAAAGATCTGTTTTGTGCATAGAGTAAGAAACTGATCTGCACACAGGGGTTTCAGGCTCACTGTGTCACTGATCTCTAACAGGCTAGCTCTCATGTAAACCATGACAAAGTGTTTTGTGTTTACTCATTTTCCTAAAATGCCTTCAAAGTTATGTTTAAAAGTAGTATTCTTATTTAAGATATAATTTGTAAGATTGATAGATAGTGACATCCTCTGAAATACAAATATAAGCTATTTGAGATGAAAGGACTGTTTCTACCACAGACACTGCCTATGTGTAATCCTAATCACTCACACAGAAAGGAATATGGAGAGTTCCAGGTCAATCAGGACACACATGGATAAGCCCTGTCTCACCTGACATAGCCTTGCTTCATGGAGTGGTGTTGGCAGGAGCAGAGAGGGAGCAGTGGCAGAGGTAGCATTTGTTCAATAGTATTGTCTGCCCCTGGCACTAAAACCAACTCTCTGTGTGGTTTGTGGTTCTTTTAAATATTCAAATGCTTCCCTAGTAAAGCTCATGATATAGTCAGTGGATAATTTTGTAAATGTTTTCTGTCTGTTTAAGAATCAGTAAGTATAAAACTTCTCCCAGCATAGCTGTGGCTATGAGGCTATTTCATTCTTTACCACCAGTGGAAGTTGAGATATTTTAGATCAGTGACAGAGGGATTAGGAGAACTTAAATGTAATAGAGAAACTGGTAAGGATGGTCCTTTCCTAAGATGATGCTTGTGCTGAGGGAAATAGCAGGGGTCTGCTTTGGATGTCTGAGTGGTCTGTGCATTTTCTGAGAGAAAATCCAATACACACTCAAGTCTCAGTGGAAGCCTTTGCTCATTGTGAGGGTTGTTTGCCATCTAATGGTAGGTTTATGGAAGGGAAGAACATATTGTTCTAAGCTGTAAGAGTCAGGTGAGAAAGAGCCAACATTAGAGAATGACTGGAGGAAACGGCCATGGAACAAAGCATTATTCAGAGTCATAATTCAATTTGTACCTTGTTTAAAAAAAATGGGCCTGTCCCAAGGAGGCCCCTGTTTTCACTATTAGATATTGGTATAAATTGCGAAGGGGAAGAGAAAAAACAAATTGTTTAAATAGGGAAATAGGGGGACCCATTACAACAATGAGATATACAAGATGTTATGTCGAAAAATGAACTTTATAACTATGGTCTGGGGTGAAGATGGGAGGGAAGGGATGGTAAGAGGAAACAAAGGAGATGGCAAAAATGCTTGATAAGAAGAGCACTCATTACCTTGCTCATGTAATTGTAACCCCTATGTATAGTATTTTCACAATTAAAAAATAATAAAGGGACTTTCAGAATCATGAGTTGATTAAGCAACAAGGTTTTAACATCTGAGTCATATAATTAATTTGCTTTATATTTAACAAACATATTCTGTTTATTTGGTGATATTCAGTAACATTCCTATTTTTTAAAATCTGTCTCATTTTAAGCCTAGCTTTGTGACTCATTCTTCAATTGCTAGCTACTACTGCTTCTTGAGTCATTCTGCCTGGGATTTGAATCTGTAATTCTCTCCAAACTATAGAAATGGCATGCTGGTGGTAGATGTTTTTGTCTTTGTCTTTCACATTTGGGAATAAGTGATAAATTGACTTCTGCAGTAACATTATAAATTCTGGTTTTGAGAGTCTCTGGAAGCTGAAGTAATACAAGATCCCACTTGGACAAGGTCTCTGGTATGACATCTTCTGTCAAGTCCTCCAAACTCAGGTTACTGCTTCAGTTCAGAGAATGTGCTATGCTGCTCCCCAGCTAAGCTTTGAAATAGGACAGCTGGGCCAAGCCCTACAGAGATGTTTTTGTTAAGGACTGTATCACTGTGGGAGGAGTATCTATACCTTGCATGCATTATTAACCCCCAATATCTTCAGCCTCAACCCTGCTGATTTGCAGTGTGAAATCTGTGTCTGACCCACTGCCACTGAATCTGCCTGGGACCCCAGATGCTAGGATGGAAGCCCCATAGATCAGCAATTTTGGAGACTGGCCAGGCTTCTGCAAGTACAAAGATAGGGCACTATCTCCATCATTATCTATGAGGCTCTCACTAGACCTGCAGGAGAGGGAGACCTTCTCTCCCAGGGTGACAGCCAAGGAGAGTGGAGTCTGAGTCATTACAATATCGCCACTGGACCCTGAAATTAAAATAAATGAAAAGTACAATCTTATATCTGGTATATAATTTTTTCTGTGGTTATATATTAATTCCCAATCCTTTTCATGGTTTTTCCTTCTATCCTAAAACCATTCAATATTTCAAAATATATACAAATATTAAAAAGCAAAAATGAGGTTCTAGATCTCATGTATTCTACCCTCTACACACTTGTCATAGTTGTCAACAAAGCTCAGGACCGGGTTCCATCTAGAATGTTCATACCTCTCATATAATTAACTTCACCTGCCCCATTCTAGAGGACAAGTTCTGTGCATCTAACCCATGAACGGAATACAAACAAGAAGCAGTGGCCCTGAGGGCTCACCCTCAACCCCCTTTTCCATCCTCATCTCCCTCTGCCTTTACCAGTCATCCAGAGCATTAGAAGGCCCCAAACCCAAGAACAGAGCCTCATTTTAGCTGGGAATCCAGGAGATTTGATCAGTGAAGTCAAGGTCAAGATGAGCCTTTATGTCAAACTAGGGCTGGAAAGTCCTCCTTGGGGAGCACTATGCAAATCAGCAGGTGGGTGCAGCAATGTGAGAAGAACAAAGCAGAGGGCAAGGGCATCTCTCTGGTGAAGAAAGTGACTTAAATTTCTTTTGTGTTTGCAACAAATCAAAGAAAGGTTGGACAAATGGGATTGAATAAAGTTGCAGAGCTTCTGCAGGGCAAATGACATAGCTAGCAAGATCAATAGAAAGCCCATGGATTGGGAGAGGATCTTTACTAGCCCTACAACGGACAAGGGTCTCATATCTAAAATATACTTGGAACTCAAAAAATTAAACCCCCAACAACAAATCCTCAAAGAAACAACTGCCCAATAAATAAGTAGGCGAAAGTCTTAAAGAGAAACTTCTCTGAAGAAGAAAGAAGGATGGCCAATAGACACATGAAGAAATGTTCAACATCCCTAGCCATAAAAGAAATGCAAATCAAAACAACATTGAGATATCAAGTCACCCCAGTTAGAACGGCAAAAATCAAGAACTCTAACAACAACAGATGCTGGAGGGGATGTGGACAGAAAGGAACCTTACTTCATTGTTGGTGGGAATGTAAACTTGTTCAACCACTTTGGAAAGCAGTATGGAGGTTCCTCAAAAGACTCCACATAGAACTCCCCTATGACCCAGCAATCCCACTTTTGCGCATTTACCCAAATGTTTACAAACAAGACCACACTAAAGCTACCAGCACAACAATATTTATTGCAGCATTATTTACCATAGCTTAGATATGGAACCAACCCAGATGCCCCTCAGTAGATGAATGGATCAAGAAAATGTGGTATATATACACAATGGAATTCTATGCTTCCATCAGAAAGAATGACATTGCTCCATTTGTTAGGAAATAGAAAACTTGGAAAAAATTATATTAAGTGAAGTAAGCCAGGCCCAAAGAAACATAGGTCCCATGGTTTCCCTTATTTGCAATATCTAGTATATGTATGAGTCAAGCGGAAAAGGTCAGATAATGTGATGTCAGGAAAATGAACCCTCAGATATGTATTTTAATGTTTTTTTCTTTCATGCATGTGTTTCTAACGCATTTATAAGATTATCTCTTTGTTGCTTTGTAGTCCCTCCCCCACAGTATAACCCCTGCTTTCACTATATTTGATGTCATTATAACTTGTGGAGGAGATGGGGAAAAACCAGTTAAGGATACAGGTGGACCTGTTGCAATAATGAGAAGTACAAGTTGTCATGTCCAAAACGAGCTTTACAACGTCGGTGCGGCGGGGGGGCGGGGGGGGGGGGGGGGGGGCGAGCGTAAGGGGGGAAAGGAGAAGGATTGGGATTGGGGGGTAGTGGGAGGCTGGGAAGGGATGTGAAGGGTAAACCAAAGGAGGAGACTGCAATGTTTGGCAAGAAATGTATGCATTATCCTACCCATGTAATTTTAACCCCTCTGTACAGTATGTTCACAAATAAAATTAAATTAAATTAAAAAACATTCTTTTGTGTTTGGAGAAAAGACCCACAAATACCAGGCTGGCTCCAGCAGTGGGTAAAAGGACCCCTCTCCCCTGATGCCTAGATCTGCAGGGAGGAAGTGGTGTACTTGACCCTGTCAACTTAAAACACTAGAGGCCCAATTCAATTGAAATGTGTGTCCAGGAGAGTGTTGGTGAAGGGTCAATTTGATTGGCCCTCTTCTGGTTATTCTAGAGAAAGATACTGTACACAGACTTCATTTGCCATTGTTTCTCAACACTTCTATCCAATACCACTGTGGTTACAACTAGGTTAGGAAATCAAATACATACTTGAGTTGATCTGACATCACTGAAACAAAGTTAACTTATGATTAGCAAGTTATCAACAACTGTTAGAGATGTTCTTTATAAGCCAGACACTGGTAGCTCATGTCTGTGGAGGCTGAGTTCTGAACACATGGTTCAAACCCAGTCCAGGCTGAAAGTTCCCTTTGTGACTCTTATCTCCAATTAATCATTCAGAAATTGGAGGTGGTGCTGTGGCTGGAAGTGGTAGAGTGTTAGCTTTGGGCAAAAGAGCTCAAGATCAGCACCCAGGTCCTGAGTTCAATCCCTACAAGTGATAAAAAAAAAAAAAGGTCCTTCATAGAGGGCCTAATAAATTAAGTTCTTATGATCACTTGTGTCAAAACAAAATAACCCAAAGCATAAAATCCTCCTTACAGAGGGTGAACTAATAACATTTCTAAATGAAAGAGAAAAATGACAGAGAAAACTAAAGTTTCCATAGTCCATTTCACAATCAGTAAATATGGAATGACACTTCTTCAGCATAACTCTTCACCAGACTAACAACAGCATTCTTAATATTTCTCTATCTTCTATAAGACAGAATGGACAAGAATGCCAGTTATTTTCAGTTAGTTAGTGAGACTATTGCAACATCTATTTTTAATCTTTCTACAGAGCCTGCTCCTGGAAAAGTTATTAACTCTGTATTAGACCCTCCTTGTCCTGCCTGCATTCCATGTGGGCAGCTACAGCCAGGACTCCACACCTCATAGCAGGACCCAGCAAGAGCTGTGTTCATGTCTCAGTATAACAAACACTCAAGCTTAAGTCTTCCCTAAAGCTTCATAATAAGCTACTAAGAAACTGAAAACTGGTTCAGAGTTGTACAGAGGATTAAATATTCCACTTACAACATCCAGAGCCTGAAGAACATACATATCTGTTGCTATTGGCCACTGTTTGTGACATTTTCTTATGGGTTACACAAAAAGATTTTTTCTATTAAAATAACTTATTTTGTAGCAAATTTTTATTGTGATTAAGTGATTAAATGAATTTCACAGGATGGTAATACTTACCGTCACAAAGTAAGTGATACTTATAGTCACAAACACAAGAATGTGTGGGATAAATTATATTTATCATGGTTCATAAAGTTTGTTAATTCTATGAGCTCTGACAACTCAATTATTTCTTCCACATGGGGTGATATATACATTTCTTTCCTTTTGCTTAGTGTCAGCTGTTCCCTCTTTGCTGCTCATTCCCTCCCTCCCATTGCTTCCATTGAGTTGCTTAGTTCACTTTGATCAATGTCCAGTGCAGCTGATAGATCCCACTGTCGTATGTTTTCCCCTGTTTCTCTCTGTTTCTCTGTCGTCCTCCTAGTTTCCTTCTAATGTGCACATATATACCATATATGTGGTATATATTATTTTTAAATATGTTTTTATTGTAAAAACACCATACAGAGGGGTACAATTACATGAGCAAGGTAATGAGTACAGTTCTTTTTTTTTAATTTTATTTTATTTGTGAACATACTGTACAGAGGGGTACAATTACATGGGCAGGAAAATGTGTACATTTCTTACCAAGCATTGCAGCCTCCTCCTTTGTTTACCCTTCACATCCCTTCCCAGCCTCCCCCTTCCCCCCAATCTCAATCCTTCTCCTTCCCTCCCTTTCCCCTCACCCCCCTACCCCCGCACCGACGTTGTAAAGCTCGTTTTGGACATGACAACTTGTACTTCTCATTGTTGCAACAGGTCCACCTGTATCCTTAAACAACTGGTTTTTCCCCATCTCCTCCACAAGTTATATTGACATCAAATATAGTGAAAGCAGGGTTTATACTGTGGGGGAGGGACATACAAAGCAACAAAGAGATAATCTTATAAATGTGTTAGAAACAAATGCATGAAAGAAAAAAAATGAGTACATTTCTTGTCAAGCATTGTTGCCTCCTCCTTTGTTTCCACTTCCCATCCATTCCTTTCTCCTCCACTTTCCCCCCATCCTACCCACCCACCTTATTCCCCCTCAGCACCAAAGTTGCAAATTTCATTTTTTGACAAAACGTCTTGTAAATCTCATTATTGCAGTGGGGCCACATGTATGCCTATTTAAACAATTTGGTTTTTTTTTCTCTTCTCCTTCCTAAATTATACCAACATCAAATACAGTGAAAACATGGGTTACACCATAGGGAAGTGACATACAAAGCAACAAAGAAATCATCTTATAAATATGTTATTTGTAAATTATTTCATTTATTCCTTTGCTGCTTGCTTACGCAAAGAGAATGAGCATACTTTTTGAGATACCAGGACTGAAAGAAAGTTCCAAATAGAAATTAAATGCCAATCACATGGAAGGGGAAATGACTAACAGAGGTAATTTCCCATTAGGTTGTAACTTCAATCATGTATATGAGTTCTAAATGATATAGATCAAAAGAAATGATATAAATCAAAATGATATAAATCAAAAGAAACCCTTTTATTTCCCCCGCCCCAAGGATGAGCAACCATAAGAAGACTCATATATGACTAAATTTTTATGCATTTTTTTAACTTTGTGTGTGTTTGTGTGTGTGTGTATGTATGTGTGTGTGTGTGTGTGTGTGTGTGTGTGTGTGTGTGTGTGTGTGTGTCTTGGGACTTGAACTCAGGGTCTGGGCCATGGCCCTGAGCTTTTGTACTCAAGGTCAGCACTCTTCCACCTGAGCCACATCTGCATTTCTGTAATTGTTGGTTAACTGGAGGAAAGAGTCTCTTGCACTTTCCTTTCCTTGGCTGGCTTTGAACTGGGATCAGCAGGTCTCAGCCTTCTGTTTAGGTAGCTTTTCAGGCATGAGCCACCCGCACTGGCCTCTTGTAGATACATAAGCCTTGTAGAATACCAGGATTTGAATTTATGCTTCTCAAAACAGGACAAAGTATAGCTTTCCTTGCCAAACAACCAGGCATGGTAGGGTTTCATTCTCAGGATTGGAACATTGTGAAATTGGTGATCAGTGCTGCTGGCCATTTGCTCTCAAGTGCATACCAGGTGATGGTCTGCTCTTCCCAGGTGTGGTGCACTTGTAGAGGCTCCGTAGTGGTCATTGTTTTTGGCAAGTTGGATACAGAGAAGCACCAGAAAATATAAAAAGATAATAAGGTAAAATGTTGCCATGAATTGGAGAAGAGTGATTGATAAATTA